TTTCCTTGGTTCTCCCCTAATGATTGGTACCAAGCCCTGTATCTCATGTTTTATATAAAAAAGATGGTGATGAGGAGTACTGCAGGAGAAACAGCTTCCCCCACCCACACCCCTGAATTGGGAGGTGTGTGTGCATGCCAGTGTTGGTCAAGGGGTAACAAGGCAGAAAGATGATTTATCCACCTACCGTCACCAGACAATAGACACTTAATCCACTGCTTCCCCTCTCCTTACTTTCAGGGTATATCCCAAGGGGCTGGCCTTATCTAGGAGATACCATAGATAATTGCTCCTGAGCAAAAGATATCATCTAAGGAAAAGAAAGGTCTACAAAAACTTCATGAAGAGCTTAAAAGCATACAAATAAATATATTATTATTTTTAATTTATTTATTTTGAGAGAGAGAGAGAGAGAGAGCACATGCACGTGACTGGGAAAGGGGCAGAGAGAGAGGGAGAGAGAGAACCCCAAGCAGCCTCTGTGCTGTCAGCACAGAGCCCAACAGGGGACTTGATCTCATGAACCATAAGATCATGACCTGAGCCAAAATCAAGAGTTGGAAGCTTAAATGACTGAGCCACCCAGACACCCCAAACATATTATTATTATTTAACATAAAGAGGAGTGCATGCTGGGTATGTTGGCAACTGATTTCACTTTAACAGGGTATCAATGGGCATTTCCTCTTGTTTATCCTAAGGACAGGCACTGCTCCTCTGTGGGGCTTGTCACCTCCCAGCAGGGCTTACAGAGAATGAGTCACACCAGCTGGAGAGAGAAATGTTTGCAGCTTTCCGTGCTTGCATAGCAATGGGAGAAGAAGAGCTATTTCCTTCCCCAGCTTGCTGTAAAAAGCCTTACTAAAATGTCATAAAGATTGGGGGTGTCTACAAGAATGCGAGACTGGCATTTGCTTCCTTGGTTGACTGACCATATAGGTGGCAGATTTGCCAATTTGCCCCCTATAATACCAGAGCAGAGGGGAAAAGAATTGGTGAATGTTGGCCATATTCCTGGATGAGTATAAGCGATGGGCCCCTCACTTGCCCAAGGGCCTGAGAATTTGCCACAGGTTGTAGCTACACTTCATGGAGGACGAGGAGAGGCACACATCAGAAAAACACAGCTGGAGATCCCCAGCCCAGAGTCAGTTGGTAAGCGCAGCTAAATATGGTGAGGGGCAGCGAAGGCTAGTTTGCTGCATGAGAATGAGTCCCTTGCCATTGGGCCATGTGGAAGCTACCACGTGTCCACCCTAACCCCAAGACAATGGGCAGGAACAGCAGTTGTGGCCAACCAAGTGGAAGACTAGAGGCTGATGGGTAAAGGAAGAAGACCTCTCTCCTTTGCACTTTTCCCTCCCCTCCTCCCACAAGCACACCCGAGGAACTGGCATCTCAAAAGAGGAGAAAGAGGTGACAGTCAGGCACTCCCCCTGCTCCATACAGTTTTAACCCTGTGCTGGGAAAGGAAGGAGATGATTTTAAATCATATTTGGGGGTGATGTTTTATAAACACAGGACTGGAGGAAGATTGTTTTAATAAGCCACAATGGCTGAAAATATATGCAATCTAGCCAAGGAGTCATTAAGGGAACCACTACCCAACAGTAGAAGGGAGGTGGCCATCAAGCATAGTATAGTTGGTGACAATTTTTGCAAAATTCTTTAATGCTCATAAGCAAAAGAGCTGAGATTTCTCAGCAAACTGTTTACATGGACATTGGTTAAAAATATTTCAGAGTGCTGTTCTGGCTTGCACAATTCTGCAAAAGAGTGTCCAGAGTTAATACAGATATCTGCTACGAGATGCAAAAACGCGTTACTAACCAAGTGCCACAGGAACGGACGGGAGGGAGAGATGACTTCCAACATGGAGCCTCCCCTGGGCTCTCCCGACAATAGGCAAGTTGCCAGATTGAACCTAGATGAACTGTCAGCTTCCTCTCACTTTGATCACTAGAGAAGGGAAATTCCTCAACTTCCTCCCCCCAAGCTCAACCCACTTCTGTACGTATTCTTTCCCCTACCCCTAAAATGCACTTCTTGCATCGAAGACTAAGACCTTACGTGTATTGGCTTTGGTTTGCTAGTTAGGATTGAAGGGGGGCAGAGCTGGCTGTCTGGCTCTGTGGTTAGAATGCTGTCCACTGCAGCCACTGACTGCATTTCGAGTAATATAAACAATCAGAGCTACAAGGTACACATTTTCATGTGTGTACCCTTGAACACCTTTTGAAATATTTTGGAAGGAGCGTGGCACTTAGAGTGTGACAAATTTTGGAATAAAATTCTAACTCTGCCATTCCCTGGGAAAGCTACTTTATTTCTTTGAGCCTCAGTGTCTTTACCCATGAAATAAGTGTCTTCACCCATGGGAAATAAGACCGAGGTAATATGATTACTGGGGAGCTTAAGTGAGATGATGTATTGAAATGCCTAGCAATGCCTGACACCTTGGGCACCTCAATAAGTGGAAGTTCCTTCCAGTCTTTCCTCACACACACCCAACATCTGGCCTGGCGATGGGCACAACAGAAGGTAGTCAGTAATTGTTTCCCAGCATGCATCAATAACCCATTCCAGCTGGCTTCAGTGAGAAGGGGATTTATTGCAGGGACATGGGAGAATCTCATGGACTGGCTTCCCGCATGGGGCTCTTGGTTTGTGCTCCCCCATAATGGATGCTGGTACATGACTTTGTCTTGTGATGATGTTCACGCCTCTTGGATTGTACATAACTTAGCACTTCAGCTCCTGAAAGTTAGCTCAGGCAATGTTTCAGTTCTCTCATTTCAAATTTCCTGGAGGGGGCATCATTTTGCTCAGATTTCATCAGGATTTTCTCTCTGGTCCAGCCAGCCCTGGTCAAAGCTATAAGCATGGCTGCCTGGGCCTACATGGTCAGCCAGGCTGTGGGTGACAGAAAAGGGAATGGTTGGCCATGATAGAACCCCCATCTCCACTGCAGTTGCTGTGACTGAATGGGATTCATTCTGTGCTCTATAACTAAGGAGACCTCTCAGAGGATGATTTTCCACAGCTCATACTGACTTTAAAGAAAACACCATGTATGCGTTTTATAATCAGTTAAAATTGTTTACCTAAAAAAACCCCACTCATTTATTACTTACTATTTGCTAGGCACTGTCTTAAGAGTTAAACAAATATTAACTCATTTATTCTTTTTAAAAGATTTTTTAATGTTCATTTATTATTGAGAGAGAGACAGAGACAGAGTGTGAGCAGGAGAGGGGCAGAGAGAGAGGGAAACACAGAATCTGAAGCAGGCTTCAGGCCCTGAGCTGTCAGCACTGAGCCCAATCTTGTGAACCACAAGATCATGAACTGAGCCGAAGTCGGATGCTTGACCAACTAACTGAGCCACCCAGGTGCCCTTAACTCATTTATTCTTATAACTGGTTGAAGAAAGGTACAGGGAATGACTCCACATTTACAAATTTTACTAAAAGCACAGAGAGGCAGAGTAATTGGCTCAAGGACACACAGCTGTTTGGCAGTAGAGTCAAGGTTTGAACTCAGGCAGTGCGGTATGTGGAGTCCACACTCCAGACCACCATATGACGCTGCATCTCACACTAAGATAGCCAGTAATCAAAGGCGTCAACCTAGGTACTTATGACCTAACAAAGTGAGGGCATTACAACATGTGACTCCTCCCCCTGCCTCCCACCTCACCTCACTAAGTAGCTTCAGAGATAACCCACTGGAGACTGACACTCACCTCCCATCTGTCTTTTATCCTTGCCAGGGGTCAGCAGGTATTGTAGGAGCCCTGCTGCATACTTCATAATACCACGAAAGGGTTACATGTGCTAATGGTTCGGTTTTGCATTCATGTTTTTAAAACCTTTTCACCTCGATAACATTTTCCATTTTCTAACAACACTTTAAATTCCATTTCTATTACTTGAACATCAGGCACAATTATGCCATTTTGAGTTTCTTCTTTGCAATTAATGCAATCATATGACACATCACTAATGCCAACCAGGAGCCTTATCAAAAAATAGTATAAATTATCATATTTCTATATACATTTGCAAATGTCTTATCAACATTCCAATCCTGTATACATTTGTATTAAAAAGCACTCTCTGTGTTGGATTTCTAGAACTGTCACTATCAACCGAACTAGATCAGTGTACATGACTGTCTCTGTCACAGAGGGAAACTCTGATTGAAATTGGCAACTTAAATCAGGTTACATGAGATTTCTTATCCAATCAGAGAAGCTCTTTGAGCTGTCAAAGTTGCTCATGAGACTATAAGACCATTCTTTCCTTTAGCTATATATAGGTAAATATAGATGTAGGTCATCTACATATATAAATATATAGATGTATAATATCTATAAGGCCATTTTCTCGTATAAGTAGTAGTATACGTCAATATATAGATATGTACAATGAACAATTTATAACTTCTGGTACTCAGTAATGAGAATATTGGGTCAATTCTTTAGAGAATAATCTGGGAAAGGCATTGTTCAAAAGTTGCCCAAGTACATCAGATCACTGGTTGTGCTTTGGTTTGATTTCTATAAAAATAGGTATATAATCATAGAATTTGTTCCAGAGAATCAGTGTAATTGTAATTTTAGGAAGTCACAATTCCTCTGCTTCAAATCTTCTGTCTGTTAAATAATTCAAAGACAAAACTATCTCCCTGTATACAAGATACCGTTTTGCAGAAAGTACCTCCTGCTCAGCCTTTGGAGTATAAATCCATGGGGAGGAATGGACAGTATTTCCCCCTGTCTTCTTCTCCTTCATCCAACTAAGGAAGGTACCAAGTGTCTCTTTCTAAGTTCGAAGCCCTTCCTGTAGGCCACGGAGTTCTATTTAATTATTGTAGAAAGGGACAGCAGAACGTGGGTTTTGCTGAGAAAATAAGAAGGGGGAAAAGAAAGAGGAGGAAGGTAAAAGAGAGGGGGCTCCGGGTCTCCTGGCTGTTCAAGTCATATTAGAATCATTTCTAGGGTTGTTACATGGCCTAGGACGTGCTGGGGCTCGTGGATCAAGAGTTTCTGAGGGGCATCGAGCAAGTGTCCTGGAACGCTGGTCAGGTGAGCGGATCCACTCAGGGGCGCTTACTGGGAATTCTGTTCCATTAGGTGAGTAGGTATATTGCTGTTCCTTGTAGGTCTTTGTCTACTACTATTCTAGTCATAGTAATAGAAGCCCCTACATTTCAGGATACCACTGGATAATTTCCTAGTTATACAATAGCAGGTACTCCAGGCAAGGTCAGCTTCACGAATGTGCCACCTGTGTGGTTGAACAGGACCCCCAACTCAGAACGGTCCTATGCTTTGGCTTAATGCTCTGCTGTTGCGATCTTGAATTTCTTAACAGTTTTTTCTTTGAACTTCTATTTTGTAAATGAAGCCCAGTGGGACAAGGGAGCATGTCTGTGAGCAGAGGAGATAGCTCCGTATGCATGTCCACTGTTCCTTGATGCCCGGTTCACATACAGAATTCACAAAGTTCCATGAGCATAGAGCTCCTGTGGACGCGTGATGCATAGGAGTTCCACAAGGCTCAAAAGAGAGTACAAGGTAAGAGCATTACGTCTATGACTGAGTAAATGGGGATGCTGACATCCTAGAGAGGCCACTCTTTTCTATTTGAACCGCAACTTGCCTCCAACATGGAAAGAAGGAAATGCTGTTCTAAGAAACTCCAAGGAACACAATAATAGTCTTTTTTTTTTTTTTAATTTTTTTTTTCAACGTTTATTTATTTTTGGGACAGAGAGAGACAGAGCATGAACAGGGGAGGAGCAGAGAGAGAGGGAGACACAGAATCGGAAACAGGCTCCAGGCTCTGAGCCATCAGCCCAGAGCCCGACGCGGGGCTCGAACTCACGGACCGCGAGATCGTGACCTGGCTGAAGTCGGACGCTTAACCGACTGCGCCACCCAGGCGCCCCAATAGTCTTTCTTAACCATGTTACTTCTTCATATTAGCCAACTACTTACGCTGGAAAAGATGACATCGAAGGAAAGAAAAAGCTAGGGCAACCCATAATTCTTTTTCCTCTCAGTCCTTCCAGACTCATCAGCTAAAGACAGAAAGTGCTGGTAGAATGTGCATGTATTAAAGAACGAGTAAAATAAAGGGTTGACGTTTTGTACAGCATTTTCACTGTTCTGGTAAGGATGAAATACATATGTATGTACGAGTTAGGAAATATAAATTGTGTCATTTCAGTGATTCCTCATACAAGTTAAATGTTCTTATATTTGCATTTAAAAGTGGAATCGCATGATATAAAGATGAACGGTAAAATTCATGCCAGTAATTTGAAATTGTAATTTTTCTTTGCTTAGAATGATCTTAAATAACAAATGAAAAACATCATAACAAGTCAAGGGAACAAGGCCGTAGAAGGAAAAGCTTGTAATTTAGTATCTTTAACAGTGTTTTCATTTTGACCTGTAAATGATGTAGCCGTACCTGATCCCGCGGTCCCTCCCAAGGCACTCAGTGGGTTGGGAGGGACATGAGTACTGGTATTTGGGGTACAGCCTGGCATTCCAGGGCTGTCCAAGCTGGGGTCAGCAGGAACTAGACATGAGCCCCAGCCCCAAAGCCAAAGCTTCCTGACCTTCATTTTCTGACCTAGACTCACAGTCAGCCCCCTGCAGCCTTTAGTCTTGGCCTTGTGCACAAACTCTCTTTCTTTCATTAACCTCTGCTCCATATCTATTTCTTATCCTCTACAGAACAAACCTGAGGTTTTGCCCTGACTGCTCCTAAATCCATTTTTTACTTTGCAGACCAAGTTTTAGCATCAAACTCTCATCTCCACCAGCCTCCAAGACTAGCCTGTTACTAGTTTGGGTTTCACTCACTTCCTGCCTCTCCTATGATTTTCTAGTTGCTAGCCTGGAGAGACCCTCGATTTCTCTCTCTACTGATAGCCTTTTCTTCTCAAATCATGGATGGTAGTGGTAGTGGTTATTGGAGTGGTATAGGGGATATTGGATGAAAACACTGTATTTTGGTTTCCTGGAGTCATTCTCCTTGGCACAGTCTTTGATGAGCTTTATTTGCTGGGAGAATTGTCTGTTTTACCCCTTGAACATCTCCTAAGTCTGCTATACTTTAATTTACAAATGGGTGTTCATTGGGGGCGCCTGGGTGGCGCAGTCGGTTAAGCGTCCGACTTCAGCCAGGTCACGATCTCGCGGTCCGTGAGTTCGAGCCCCGCGTCAGGCTCTGGGCTGATGGCTCGGAGCCTGGAGCCTGTTTCCGATTCTGTGTCTCCCTCTCTCTCTGCCCCTCCCCCGTTCATGCTCTGTCTCTCTCTGTCCCAAAAATAAATAAACGTTGAAAAAAATTTTTTTTAATAAAAACAAAAACAAAAACAAATGGGTGTTCATTGGCTGTTTCTACTGTGAAGTGAGCAAAGCTTAGAGGCAAATCAAGTCAAGGAGTTCAAAAGAAATAAATGAATAAACCTATGAAAAAACACTTTATGGTAAGCATGGAAGTGTCATGCTATTAAAGCTAGTGTTAAGTTAAATATATAAATGGTATCATGTGTCTATTGCGTCAAATCTTATTAATCAAAAACATAATTAAATCTAATGAACATTAGTAGGGTATTCTCCTTTTATGCAAATAAATTGCTCTTTGTGTAAGTATCTCCCAGGGTAGAAAATATTCATTTATGGTCCATTATAATAGTTGAGAGCATGGTGTCAGGACTTGAAACCCTGGGTCCTGAACCTGGCTGTGACACTTACTAGCTGTGGACCTTGGGTGAATGGTCTCAATCTGGAAAGAATAGCAGTGCTGACCTGATAGGGCTATTGTGAGTTTTAAATGAAGTGATATGTGTAAAGTGCTTAGTTCCATGCCCTGCATATAGTAATTACTTGATAAATATAAACTGTCCCCATTATTATTACTACATACAGGATGAACAAGAAAACAGAACTCTGAGATTTTTTAAAGTAATCTCTGCACCCAATGTGGGGTTCAAACTCATGACCTCGAGATCAAGAGTCACATGCTCGACCCACTGAGCCAGCCAGGTGCCCCTGAAAAAGATTTTTTTTAAGTAATGGAAAGGCTTTGGGAGATTAAGAAGAGGAAAACAATAAAGTAAAAGGGAAGAAATAGATGTATTTGTATTTGCTTTTTGAAATTCACAAGTAATTTCAATTATTTGGAGTATTTAGAGTACTTTTCCTTGGCCATACAGAGGGTGCTATCACATTCACTGAGCATCTCATTCCGTGGAGATTATAATTACTATCAACTTAGTATTAAACCAGTCAAATGAGCCTGAACCAGCAGCCATACATTGCTTTTCAATGTCTTCATGTTCAAAAAAAAAAAAAAAAAAGAAAGAAAGGAAAAAAAAGCTCCCTAATTTATGGTAATCTAATATGTGCATAGTGCTTCCAATATTCTACTAAATCAGTGCAGTCAAAACCCAAAAATTTCAAGCATTCTCAGACATAAGTTGCATCAGCCAGCCTAGGGCACTGGTTGAAAGGTGGAGGAGGGGGGGAAAGAAAAAGAAGAGAATGCCTTATAATAGGGGACTATTCTTTCTTTTGTCATATTTTGGTTCCTTTAAACTTGTTCAGTTGCATTTAAGTCCCCAAGAGCCACAAAAATTATGTCGAACAATAGCAGGGATTTGTGAAAAGATTCCTTAGATAACATTTGAAAAACACAAGCAGCCCTTGAACCTTTTTGCATCCAGTCCATCTGATGGGCTTTGTGAGCTGCAGCCACCTGCAAGAGTTCTAAAATAGATGCTTTCATAAAACAGAGAATTCTCAGAATTGATGTGTTAATATCATTCTCTTAATTACTTGACATCTGACCTAAGTAGCGGTAACAAGATGATTTGGGCCAAAGCGAAAAGAAGAGTTGAGGCCGTCATTCACGTATTTTTGGTCACACACACACACACACACACACACACACACACACACACACACACTACAGCTAGTGAGAAAAAAACATTGTATGGGATCATTTAGGCAGCTTGTCTACCCAGCTGAAGGTCACTAAATAATTGCTTAATCCACCACTTCACTTTTCCTATGTCTACAAAGCTTAGGTTTTCAATAATACAAAGAGTTTACTTACCATGTGAGGGTTGGGGGGAGAGGACGGTTTGGGTAAGGGGTGTGGAATCTTCAAAGGAAAATGTATATTATAGTGATTTTGTTTGTGAAGACTTTTCAAAGCATGAAACAAAACATATAGAAATAAATATTGGTTTTAAAAAAAAAACTTAGAAGCCCTGAGGGGGGAGAAAACTCCAAATAATGGAAACTTCATTAAAAGATAGAAATTATAGGTCTGAAATTCAAGTTAAATCAGTAACTTCTACTAATCAAACCAAGACTCCCTGTGTGGGTCACATCCCAGCCCATCTGCTTACTTCCCAGCCCAATACAAGGTTTTATTTTCTATTTGTCTTTCTCTTTTTTCAAACTGTCAACACTGCAAAGCCATACAGCTGTGGGTAAAGCAGCTGTGTGATAGTCTGCCTCCCACATCGTCAACCAAATTGTCTGCTCAGTTTTTCTTTATTACTGGTACTGATGGGATAGAATGCCAAGGGCTGAGGGCTGATTTATGTCAACTAACTCTGGCTTATCAGGTATCTCTCTCTTTGGCGCCTCTTTTTGTTAATGCTTCCTTCAGCCTTTATTCTTCCAGCCTTTTTTTCTCTGCCTCTTTTTTCCTTATAGAAAGAGCGTGTTCGTGATACCATTTTGATTCCTGATTATTTCCTTAGTAAGTAGCCATGAGCATAACCATGCACTTAAAAGTTCCCCTTCTGGAAGAATCACGCTTCATTTAGCTATTTTCATACTTAACCATAAACAACTGCATGATGAATATCTATACATAAATCTCTATCTTCGTTTCTGATTCTTTTCATCCGGATGCCCAGAAGCAGCATTGCTGGATAAAAGGCTATGAGCTTTTTAAAGGTTTTTGATGCATGATGCCAAATTGCTTTCCTTTCTGGATCCATGAGCGTAGGAGAGTCTAAAGTCATTTTTAGTACATCCCACATGGGAGAGAAATGTGTTTTCTTTCTCTCTCCTCGGCGTAACGTGCGGGCCATGTTAGACCTCAGAGCAGTGTTGGCCAACTGGACCTGGCATGAGCATTCCTCAGGGTGCTGGCTACCGATATGGGTGTCTGGTGCCCTCACCTCGGGATTGTGATGCAGTAGCTGTGGGCTGGTCTCTGGACTCTGACTTGGCATGCTCGCAGGCTGCCTGGAGGCATACCTATAGCAGAGAGGTGGAAGAGGCATTCATTCCCTTAGAGTCAGGTGAGCAGAGTGGGCTGAAGAATAGCAAATGGTAGGAGGCACTTAGGCTTGTGCCTTCTAGGTAGAAACACAGAGGATAAAATGTTGGGATCTTGCCTTTTTCAGGGATCACAAAACTGGACCCAAAGAGACAGTGGGAGGGAGAATGGGTGTGATGAGGAGTGAGGTGATGTTGAAGGTAGGCGTTCAAGAAGAGCACGGTCAGTGTGAACACTTTGGGAAGGCTTCCCCGTGAGGTCGAGCTGAGCTAAGGATCATTCTCCAGTTGTCGAGTGTTCATACATTTGAAATGTCTCCAGTTATACTGCAAATTCTTGTTTGGGGCAGAAACTGTGTATGTGTGCATGTGCATATATATACATGTGTGCATATGTCCGTATATGTACACACACCTATATATACACTTGACCCTAAAATCTCATGTGTGCAAATTGTATGATTTCATTAGATAGGAAATGTGTGAATACATTCCTCCTATTAAAATCTTAAAGCATTGCAGGTAAGTCTGAAGTTATCTTTAACTCTCATTACCCAGTGCACACCTCCCACCCCCGGAGCTAACCATCGCCATCAGCTTGGTATATGTGTACTTCCATAACTTTCCCTGTACACTTACGTCCATATGTATGCCTGTATAAAATGTATAGAATCGTCGTAAGTGTGAGCACATTGTTTTGCAGCTTGCCGTGGGGAGAGGAAGCAGCATTTTGGTCCATTCTAACTTCATTTTAGAGTGGGCTGGATTTCAAATTAATTTTTAACTTGCACAATTAATATGAGTACGGTCTCCTCGTAAATAAATAAAAAAGAAAGGAATCGCAAATAAAGCTAAAATTTCCTTTGTCTGCCTCCTCAATCCTCCTTCCCTCTTCTCCTTTCCAGAGGTAAATCCTGTCATCATTTTTGAGGGGAGGGCATCCCTGGTAATGACTGTATTTTATGTCTTCTCTGTATCTCCGTTAATTTCTCAACATCTAACTGCAGCTGGTGCACTTGTAGAGCCTTAGAACCATAAGAATATTTTATAGATTGTCTAGTCCAGCCTTTCACGTATGGATGCAGATATAGATCAGATGCGTTGGCCTTGGTTTTTGCCACCCTTAGCTAGTGTGCACCTCACTTTATCAATCTGTGTTACTTCTAGTAATTTCTGCGTATGTGGTTGAAATCGAAAGCCTCTTTAGGAGCAACTTCATTCCTGAAGAATCTGTGCCATTCTCTTTTACCACGATGTAGGCTTTGGGGAGGAAAGGCTCTGGGGAGGCCGAGCTTATAAGGAGCTACACTTCCTGTTACTTTAAGCAACTGAGAACACCAGGAAGAGCATGGTCCTTTGGTTTGGCTCCGGCTACCATGGGCAAGAGGGGCCTTGGCCCAGACTGTCTGAATCCCTCAGTGGGGCAAGATTTTCATTTTGAGGCCAAGCATTTGGAGGCTGGCTTCCACCTTTCGGCTCTCTAATGATGCCAGAGGCAGAAAGGACACAGCTTGACTCTCGAATTCCAGCGTTCGTCCATTTCAGGGATGAGCAGAAAGAAAAAAAAGAGAAAAGAAAGAAAAGAAAAAGCCCTTCGGCTCACAAAGTAAGAATCTTTGAAATGAAAGTTCTGCAGAGAGTAAATATGAAGCGCCACAATGCCATCTCTGGAGCCACATTTCAGAGCACGAGGGCAATTCCACTATGTAACGGAAGGTTGAGAGATTTCATGTTCCTTAATTAAAACATATCTCGGGAGCCAGTGGGAGGCACCTGCACAGCCCCTACCTGAAGATGCCGATTTACAGAAAAACTTCCAGCCGTGGGATTCATACAAGGGACACGCTGGCAATTGTGAGTTTCTTTTCAAATCGGCCTCTGTCTGTCATACCTATGTAGTTACAAAATCAAAAGGGATAATAAAGTTCAATTGTATATTCACAGTTTGATATTTCTATTGACAGGTCTCACACAAAAAACACCATTTCAGGAAACTCTGATTCTGTATCCCTCTATGAAAGGCACTGAAAGGCTCTCCCGGGTTGCACGTCCCCACCCAACAATCCCTCTAAATCTGAACCTATAAAGTGGCCCCATCAAGGTTCAAAGGTGTCAAATTGGGCCTCCTCTCCCCAGGTTCTGTTTGTGATTTTAAAATATCTCTCTGATGGTGAGGGAAAAAGGAAACCACCCAGACCAAACCACAACTGAGTTAAAATCCCAGCTCCTCAGCAGAGAAGAGCAGTTAACCCAAGCGTCACCACATCGCAGAGGGGGACTGGAATGCCGCCCGCACTGAGGCCTCAGACAGATCCAGACGACCCTTGGGTCTGCCCTGCTGCTCTCGCCTCACCCACGAGAGTCCCTATCAACTCCTAATGGTTCTCGTGTTTTAAAAATGTCAGTATATTTCACTCCTATGGAAATATCCTTCAAGGCCCACTAGAAAACCAACATGCAGGTGCCTGTAATTTTTAGAGAAGATTTTTCTTGGAAAATAGGGGGGTGTGTTTGGCTGGATTCAAAACCAGCAAGTCTGTTCTTGTTATAGTGTATGGGACCAGGCTTATGCAAGAGCAGAGCACATCTGAATGCAAAAATTAAATGGAGGAATGGGAGGGGGGAACAGGTGCTCTTTTATAAAGGCTAAATTCCATATTTACCAAACTGATTTGCATGAGGCACATTTTCAATGAAAATATTGCTACTCATTTTGCTGCATTTGTGCAACAGAAACATAAGGATGGAGCAGAAGAGGGGTGGGTTCTCAAGCTGTCTTCTTGTACCTACCCTTTAGCCGACAGTTAAGTGGCACATTTGGGAGATTAACAATTAGAACCTCTGGCTTCCCCCTGCCAAGTTAGCATTACTTTGGGTTTCCTCTAACCCACAATACAGCCTCTGAGTCAAGAGTTAGATGAGAGTTCAGAAGGGATGGTGAGAGGTCATTCACTCCATTGGGTATCACCAAGTGAGAATACCTAGATTATCTCAAGAGAAGGATTTTATTTTGTCAAGTGGATTCCACGCCTTCTCTTAGGAATCCAAGCCAGTGTTAAGTCTTATCACCAAGAATGTCTTCCTCCTATTTCAAACATTTTACTTATGCTTTACTTCCTCTTCATGTAAACCCAAAATGGAAAAGTGCTGTTGGCTACATAGATTATCTCATTTACAGTCTTTTTTTTTTTTTTTAAGATTTTATTGTTAAGTAATCTCTACACGCAACGTGGGGCTCGAACTCACAACCCCGTGATCAAGAGTCACATGCTCCACCTACTGAACCAGGTAGGCGCCCCCTCATTTACATTTTTAAATCAATTCTATGACATACATACTATTACTTCCCCACTTTACAGATAAAGAAACTGAGGCAGAGAGCAGTGAAGAAACGGGCCCTAGGTCACTCAGCTGATACGTGGTAGACCCAAAATTGTAATCTAGGCATTTGACTCCAGAGTCTATATTCACTTCACCACCACAAGTTGCCACCTGGCAGTTTCAGATGTGGTCGGTTGCAAATGGAGTTGCTAACAGTGCAGTATGGATGCCCCAGAGAAGTTGAACCCAGGCCAGAAATGAGAGGTTGAAACTGGAATAAGGTTAGGTGAGCAATTGATTGATGGAAGATGCTAGAGTAATGGCAGGTAGAATGCCCATGCAAATATACACAGATTCACTTATAGGTGGGCAGGTGGTGAGCGGATTCCAATGGGAAAGGCCAGCCTCTTGGGTATTTATAGTCTGTGTTCTCCAGAGTGTGTTCCAACAGGGAAAATCCAGTGGACCTCTGTCTTTAGGGGACTCCCCAAGGGATTGAAGAGCTCCAGAGTCACAGTGAAGTTTCTACCCACCTGTGAGAGTTTTCTCTGAAAAGGTCTCGTAGAGCATCTTGTAGAAAAGTAAAGTTCTCAGCATGCTTCACTCTTCTTTGTTGAAATAAAACTTAGAACCAGCCCAGGCCCACTGTGGGTCTTCTGGATTTTCTTTTCCCTAGGGAGCTAGAGGCTATAGACAGAGCTTTGAGTTTCAGCATGAGGGGAGGGGCCATAAGTGTCTGACCTTTGGGAAGAGCACCTGAAGCCATGCCTGTTCCCAGTTTGCAGCTAAATTGAAAACACCCTGAAGAGCCATACACACCCTTGAGGAAGCTGACCACTTCAGTGTTGGTGTCTGAGGCCAAAGAGAGCTTTCATTCCTCACTATCAATGGGTTTGAAGTAAGCAGCTCTTTTTTTGACTATTGAATTATCTAGTTTACCCTACAATGTCCTTTGAAGAACTGTACAAATTCTATACAGGGTTGTGTTTCCTTAGATAAATGGCTTGCTTCATCTGACATCTTGGCCATCTAGCATTTCTGTTTATACAAGTACCAGAGCTTAAAATGGGTGAAGCAGAGCTTTCAAAACCACCCCACATTGGCTTCTCGACTCATATAAATGTCCTTGAACATGCAGTAGATTGCCCTCTGGGATTTCCACACTGAATCTGAGCTCCACAAGAGGACTACTGGGAAAATGTTTTATACATAGAAATTAAAAGTTTCAGGGAAGATTTACTCCCTTACTGGGGAAAAACCAATCAGATAAAATCAGAGTCCTCAAACTGTCCACCCTCTGTGGCAAACACAATTTAAATTCTCTCAGTAAAGCTCTTTACTTTAAAAGAAGCAGGACTTCAAGTATGTCGATACCAAATTCCCCAGTCCCTGAAGAGAGTCTCTTGTTGACTCCAGCCTGCCTCAGAGGCACTCTGATATCCATGACCTCCAAGGCACAGGTTGTGATCTGTTTTTTGCTGTTGCTGTCTGTTCATTTGTATGTCTGTTTCTTATGGAGGTCTGGTGGGTAGGGTTTATATATGTACAACTACAAAATTCGAAGAGTTACACACCATTCAAATGTCTCCATACCAGTGACCCTAGGCCCTAGTTCGTCACTGCATAGGCAACTCCAGTTATTGTTTTCGTATTTATCATTTGAGAGAGAGTCTCTGCATATGTAAGTATATGATGCATGGGCATGATGTGTAAGTATAAATGTTTTCTATGCTAATGACAGCATACTATACACATTTCAACATAATGGTTAATGGCACAAACTCTGGATTATGGAGTTTGGGCTTGAATCCTGGCTCTGTTGTATAAGTTGTGTGGCCTTCGGCAAGTTGCTTAACCTCTCTGTCCCTTAAATTTCCCCATTACTGAAACTGGGACATTAATGGTACCTAGTTCATATGATTTCATGATTAACTAATAGAAGTGGAGGGTTTAGAACAGTGCCTGCAAAGAAATGGTAAATTTCTTTTGGTAAACCACAGATCTTGGAATTTCTCTATGAGTTTGTCTAGATATGGCTCTTTGTGTCCAGTGACTGAAAAGCGTTCGATTGTGTGGAAATATAAAATGTATTTAACCAGTATTCAACTATATAACTGTTAACTATTTAAATATTTAATAACATTTAACTACTGGTGCTCATTTAGATTGTTTCTGGTCATTTGCTACCATAAAAATGCTCTAACTACCATCCCTTGGACATGCATCTAAAAGTAAAAAGAATACCTAAAAGTAAACTTGCTGAGACTAACTCACCACATTTAAATTTTTGATAGACATGACCAAGTTCCCTTCAAAAATGTCCTTTTAGCTTATTTTCTCAGTAACAACATACAAGATTCTGGCCTATCACCCTTCTTCATTTTTACCAATACAAGAGGTGAAACAAGGTCTCTTGGAGTTTCCGTGTCCTTTCTCGTGAGCAAAACTGAGCAATTTTTCAAGTGCTACACTCATTTTTCTATTGGGTGATTGGTCTTTCTCTCACTGAGCAGTCCATTTTTTAAACTAGAGAGCCCTTACGTGAGTGATTGGATCTGCCTCCTGGTTGATCTCACTTAAAGTCTCATTAGCCTGCGCAAAAAGGTTTGCACCACGGTAATTTTATTCGAAATGTTGAACAGTACAAATTTGATCGCTGCAAGGATCTGTTAGCACTCATGTAACCTGATCTGCCGTGCTGGAGAATGAGAGTTTATTGCATCATAAAAATGTTACCCTCCACTTGCGCTGGGCAAGTATTGAAATTTTTATGAGCTCTTCTTAACTAAAGTTATCAATAAATAACACATGATTCTTGACTGGGCTAATCCTAGATTGATGTGACTTATTTGATAAATCAACACCATAAAGAAACTCTTGGCTCAATGGCCTGGGATTGTTAAGAAAAGACAAGGAAGATTCCACCTCTGAGTTACTGAGTTCGACTCCCAACAGTGAAAAACAGACAGGTGTTTTACCCTTCTGAGAGTTGATCCCCACTGGTCAAGGGCTTGGAAAAATCGCTGTAATCACTCTGCACCCAGGTTGTTACAATACAACGAATCCATCATAACCTCGTTGCCTATTTGATCTGCCCCAGAAGAGGCCAGGTTTACAAAGGTCTTTCTTTTCCAGTGGTTTTCATGCTTTAATGTCTATCAGGATTATCCAGGAAGATAGACTTTAAACAAACCCACAGGTGATTCTGAAGCAGGTGGTCAGAAGACACCCTGGGAAGCTCAGCTAGCAAAAGCCATGCTGGATTACCAATCAAAAAAATTTCAAGCTCTGTGGCCCAGGAATCTCCATTTTCACAGGCACACCTGCTTACTCTCGTGCACCCTGCAGAGGGGAGAACCCCTGTGCCACCTTACGGTCGCGAAGACGTGTTGGAAGGGATTTTTGAATTGTCCAACAAATTCTGAATTGTCAGTTTGATTGGAAAAGACTTGGGAGTCTTTTTCTTCCCCACAGCTACTCCTTGGGGGCTCAGCATCTGTTTTACTTACTCCCACCCCATGAAATCACAAAGCGAGTGAGGGACAAGAAATCCACCCGCAGGAGAAAGTGGCCACAATAGAAAAGGAGAGCAGTGAGGGACCTCTCCCGGAAATGTCCCT